GGCTCTAATAATTCCGTCGTCTAACATTTTGTCAATTTGCTTTTTAATTTCTTCCTTGTGAACATAAGGATATCTGTACGACTTTACATGTACAGGTTCCTCGTCGGTTGTTTTAATAACATGTTTTACTTTTGACGTAAATGTAAGTGGGTCGCCTGGTTTCAAAAATATGTCTTTATATTGCGAACATAATTTAATAATTTCCGATTTTTCTTCCGTGTTCATATGATCCGTTCTAATAAGATTTTGGATTTGCATTTTATTTATTTTATAATTATTTTGTCTATTAGAAAATTCAAATTTATAACATTGATAAACGTTAGAATCGTATGGATAAGCGTTTATGGGTTTTTAATAAGGTTATAGATAAATTTTTATTAGTTTCATTGACAAATTCTACTAAAGCTAAACCATCATTTGCTACAGTTAGCATTTCTGGTACATACATATCACCTAAAACTATCTTATCGATTAATATTTCACCGTTCGGTACTGGACACAGGGACTTCTTTTCTAATCTTTTCATAAGGGCCAACAGATATTTCAAACTTTATGTCTGATGGTTTTCTAAATTTAATAGGAATTATTGTGTCTCTGCTAACGAGACATTTATTATTAAAATCAATGTTAAACTTCATGGATAATAGGTCATTAACACCGACCAAGCCATCATAAAACTCATGAAAGTCATATAATATGTAGTGCAGTATATTGTTTCGATTAAATTCTTGGAACGCCGGTATGGCTGCTTGGTATTTGATATTTTTCGTGCCAAGAGACGTAGAAATTGAAACGTTTGAAGGATATATGCAATCTGAATAAAATTGTTCAGCAATACTGGGTTTTAAGATTGATTTCGTACTACCAGTATCAATTAATAATTTTAATGGGGGGTTAGAAATAGTGATGTAAGGTAAAGGGTTATTAGAGGTTAGATTTAATTCGATTAAGTTGTTTGGTCTTCTGAGGCGGTTTCTTGAAAATTCTGAGGAAAATAATCTAAATCTACTTGTTCACCGGAATGTATATCTGCGTCGACGTCGCTATGCGTCTGTTCGCATTCTTGTCTATCGTAACCATTATTATATAATTCTTCAACTATAATATTCGGCTTTTGCCCATTATTTTGAAAATAGTTTCTATTAAAATTATTTGTTCTTCTGTTAGACGTTGAAGGGAATCTAGAATTTGTAGAAATATTCATCGGTTCCGGCTTTGGGACGCGATGTTGGGGAGTTCGATTTGGTCTGAAAACATTCGTATTTCGGGAAGGTCCAAAGACTTCTGAATTAGTTGGGAGTCTTTTAGGGGGTAACTGTTGAGGCTGTACATTAATAGGTTGGCGGGGCCATTGGAAATTTTGGGGATAATTATTATTTGTATTAAAGTTTGGATTTTGGGGAATAGAAGAATTTGTTTGAAAATATTGATTATTCATGGGATTATAAAATTGCCCGTTTGGATTAGGGAAATTCCGATTTCTGAAATTGCCTTTATTTTGGTGTGACTTATTGTCATTATTACTTGAATAAAATTTCTCGAAATTCTCAAATTCATTTACATAAGCTATGGCGTGTTCTAAAGAAGCTGGTGCTTTTAAATGCATATTATTTTTTAATGTGCCGGTACAACCCGCAATAAAAGTATTTAATGCTGTATTTTCGCAAAATTGTATAAAAACAGTTTTTTGATTTACATCAAGACTAGTATCATTGCTAATTCTTTGTACTATATTACTTGCTAACAATTGTAATCTATTTCCAAATTCTATTAAGTTTTCATTTCTTTGTGGCCTAGTTCTAGTAAGTTCTTGTATTAAGGATTGTAAATTACGTTTATCAGAAAAACATTGTATAAGTGCGGCTTTTAAAAGTGCCCAATTATTTAATTCTACCCTATTTCCTACCATAAGCTCAGCTTTTCCTATAAGTTTTCCTTGAATACATTCAAAAATGTGATCATTTAATTCTTGGTCATTATATGCTCTATATGTAATAATTAAGTTATCGCAAAGATAAATAAATTTATTTAAAGTATTAGTATCTCCATCATAAGGTCTAATATTTGAAATTTTTGACTTAAATAGTTCCCAATTAATGGGACGCGTTGCCGTCGCTTGATTAGCTTGAACAGTTTGGTTAGTTGCCATCTTAATATTTTTATTATCTTTATTTTTTCTACTTTTAAAGTTAATCTTTAGATTTTTAAGAGATTCTACCAAGGAATCAGCATTAATCATAAAATGAAAATATCGTCTAATAAACAATGTCTTAACAAGCTATCTTCCAAATTTATGAAAAATAAAAGGAAGGCAAGAAGGAACTTGGCACTCACCTCGATAGTCTTTGCCAACTACTTCTCCAGATTCGTCCACCCAAATGAAGGACTGCTGTCACTGAAGGGCTGCTTTCCAATGGGGGCTGCTTTCCACTAAACGGAATGTTCTTTGGATTTGCACTTAAGGCGTTGAAACACCAAAGTCCCGAAAAAGTCTGCTTTCCGATAGATACGAAATTCACAGTTTCGCGACTCGCACAAATCCTACTGACTGCGCCAATTTTAAATTTCAAAAATGAAATTTGTTTTTTAAAAAATATTTTTATTTCTAAGCTACAAATAAATACATCTAAACTGAACAAGACCAAGAATAATAATGAATTTACAATGCGAATAATTAAAGAAACAATATGATAACTTCTAGGGGAAACTGCAGAGTAAGCTGCAGGTGTTGGTTGCGATTCTGCCAGGTCCGGACTTTCGTACCATGTAACTCACAAATATTGTGTGATAAGAAAATACTGTGTAAGATAAGGATAATTATTGCGTCTCAAAATATTAAAGCAAATAACAAATAAATAATCACTATTTCGATTGTTTTTGCCAAGAAACGTTGAGTTTAATTTAAAAACATTTGATATACCTGCTTATATCTATAGAATTTATCAGTCCTGGTTAAAGTTAAGCGTAGTAAATTAAGATAAGTTTCAAGATTACATATAAAAAATGTTTACAATTGTTTAAAAACACGTTATGAAACAAATCATTCCTTTACTTCTAAGTGGGGCCATATATTGCATATATATATATATATATATATATATATATATATATATATATATATATATATATATATATATATATATATATATATATTTATTTAGTGGAACAAGCATTATATGGACTACAAGAAAATAGGTCACTACTGTTCACACTTAGATTGACCTTTGGCACATGAAACCTAATAAAGCTGATAAAAGGGCAGCTTCGGACACAACTTTGGCTTCAAGAGCCCATACCACTGATGCATATTCCAAATTTGGTCTGACTAAAGCGTTATATAGTTCAATGGTTATGTTTATGCTAAAATGTTTGGAATTTCTTATTCCAAATCCTAGTATTTTTTAGGCCTTATTAACAATATTTATATAGTGTTCATTTAATTTCATGTTAGGCTGTAGGTAGCTTCCCAGATCTTTACATTTGGTTTTCCTAGATTCTACACAATTGTCAATTCTATAATTATTTTGAATGTAGTCGATTTTGCGGGTAAATGATATGACTCCACACTTTTTAATACTCAAGTCCATATTGTTGTTCCTGAACCATTCTATAACTGAGATGAGGTCCTCCTGTAGTAACTGACAATCATTTGAAGTATGTATAGTTTTAAAAAGCTTAAAATCATCTACATAGATCAGACTAGAAGAACATTTGGGAGTTTGGTATAGAGTTGACAAAAATTAAGAAAAATAACGGCTCCAAGTTGCTCCCTTGGGGACGCCAGATGTTACCTGAAATTCATCTGAAAAACAGCCACCAATTTTAACTTGCTGAAACCTTTTTTCCACATACGATTTTATAAATGTACAAGCATCATGTAAAACGCCAAACTCATTCAATCTCAATAAAAGAATGCTATGGTCAACCATATCAAATGCCTTTGAGCAGTCGGTCATTATTAAATCTGATTGGAGTTTATTATTTATTGTCTCACTAGCAAAATTAGAGAGAATGCAAAGATTACTAGTTGTAGATAACTCAGGCAAGAAACCATGTTATTTTGGAGCAAATTTATTTGCAAAATTCTTCATTGTATTCATATATAGAATAGATTCAAATATTTTAGCCAGGAAATTAAGGATACTTAGAGGACGATAGTCTTCTATATCGTTTCTATTATCTAATTTAAAAACTTGAATAATAGTAGCCTCTTTGAGTTAGTCTGGAGAGGTGTTAGTTTTAAGTGATAGATTAAATATATGTAATAATGAATGAAATGAGGTTGAATGCTCGAATAAATGAACTTTGAAACTAAGGCTATTATCGAGCACAAGTTAATTAAATCTAGGCCAAGTACTTTCGCTTAAAATAGCATCTTCAGGGGCATCTGAAATAAGCCAAGGAAACGTTTTTTAGATGAAGTAAATTAGTTAACTTCGATAAAAAACTCGAAGTTAATGGATGAAAAAAAGTTTTTCATTCATTAACTTCGAGTTTTTTATCGAAGTTAACTAATTTACTTCATCTAAAAAACGTTTTCTTGGCTTATTTCAGATGCCCCTGAAGATGCTATTTTAAGCGAAAGTACTTGGGCTAGATTTAATTAACTTGTGCTCGATAATAGCCTTATTTTCAAAGTTTAGATGTAATAATGGTTTTTGAAATATATCAGAACATACTTTAAAGATATAGGCAGGGATATTATTACTACCAGTGGCCTTTTTGGTTTTAATCTTTTTATACTAAGCTTGACATCTCCTTCAGTTTTTTGAACTTCTCACGTTAATATGTTCATAGTTCTCATTGTGTTAAGCCTATTTTTATAACCCATTTCATCCTTATATCTATTTTAGCTCTCTTCAAAATAACAAACAAAAAAATGTTTCATTAATTTTTCCCCTAAAGAAAATTATGGTCCAGAGAGCAAACAAAAATATACCAAAAAAAAAACGACAACAAAAACAAGTGTAACATGCCAGTACTTTTAAAAATGTACAAACCTAAAGAGCTGCCAGAATACACTGTTTCGCCCAAAACCTTGTTAAGACAAGCTACATCTCCAAATCCTAGATTAACACCTTGACCTGCAAGTGGATGTACCCTATGTGCTGCATCTCTAGAACAACAAAAAAAATACAAATGTAGCAAGCTTTAAAGTTATATTAATTATATTTTATTTTGAAACTTCTTCATTAGAAAACTTGTAAACTTGGGAAAAAACATTCAAATTTCAACAAGAGAAATCTACGATTTCCTACCTGGCGAAACTGAATCCAAATTTTTACTGTGCCTTCTACAACTTGAAAAGCAAACAGCTTGATTAATCACTCGGCAAGGGAATCGAAAATATGCATTCCACCTGCCGTTCATCATGGTCAAAATTCGTAGTGAATTCAGTTTCTGGTACTCCAAACTGAGTAAAGAAATAAACATAATGACGGTATTAGATTTTAGTTTCGATACAGGGCAGCGGCAAGCCGTTTATACATATTTCGATATCTTTAGGTCTCATCCGAGCGGTGTATGCCACTGCTCTGTGGGCACAGTGGACCTTAGTGGACATTTATCTCACAGTTAACTTTTTATAATACACCTACCCCACAAGAACTACTCCTTTTCCGATATAATTTGTAGCGTGGCCAAATCCTAACGGAAAAGCAGCTCTGCTTCCTTCTTCTATACTGGAAACTTTTGGAGGATAAGTACGATGAACATCGGCAGGACAATTTGTAGCTCTAAGCAAAGTGTCAAACGACCGTACCGCTTGATCAATGGTGGTACTGCGTTTAAAAACTTTCCACTGAAAAAAAAGAAATGATTTAAATTAGTGTAATAATTAATTTGTGACGGTATTAGGTCATTGGCGCCAAGAAAGAAGCTTATCGTATGTAAAACCGATGACTAACGAATTTGAAAATATATTGTTTATATATACCGCTTTTATATATTTAAAAATATTCTTATAATACATTCAAGAATAATTTATTCTTTCTGTTGCAATAAATAATTTAAAACATGCTTGGATATTATGTTTGCTACCGATATATTAAAATCCCGTGAAAAGATTTCGTTTTTACAAGCGCGCCTGGTTATAAAATGATTATTTCGCGTATATAACTCGCTTGAAAATTCATTAGAAAAACAGGTATTAATGTCTACTCAGAGGTGGGTCTATAAGGTTTACTGTTTTCGGGACTCTTATTTAAGGGTAATTAAATATTTCAGTTTTATTTATTATGCTGTTTTATAGTAAGCTGTTTTCGTGTTCCGTGTTGGACAGTCATCCTGGCATTTAAGCATTCTATAATCACAACTTGCCACGGGCAGTACGCCCCAAAAAGCATTGTATAATCGCATTAATACAAGATCAAAAGAGCTAGACTGTCTCGTTGCTTAGTTAACATATGTGATAAATGACTTAATATAGAACTTTTGAGGTTTCAGCTGACAAAAATCTATCCAGGATGCAAGCCGTTCGAGAAGGGATTCTTCAGAGCAGCATTTTATCAACGATACTATATATCATTTTTGTTTCAGATTTGCCTAGTGGTTTCAGAACAAATATATCGTATACGCAGACTACACAGCAATCTACACCGCAGCTAAAGACAACAGGAGGATCGTCGAGAGACTTATAAACCACCTAGAGAGGATTGCAGACTACTGTTACGATAATTATGACTCATAATTGTAAACATATTCTTTCTAATTATATTCTGTTCTAGTGAGTTCGCCGCCCTTCTTAAAAAACCGGTCTGTTGTGGGATTCCTTCCAAACTAGTCGAGAAGGTCGGCGTCCGAATTTCGAAGGGATTCTCGATTAACTGTATTTTATATTTAAAGAAGGAATTTTGTTAAAAACAGTTAGTTTAGTTTTGAATATCGAGTTATAAATATTGTAAAATGAATTAGTAATAAAGACTTTAATAAATTTTCAAGTGTTATAAATAGAACCTTTGATAATAAATAAAGACAATAAATTAGATTAATAAAAAATACTACACTACACTGAAAAATGAAAGATCACCACAAAAAAGACTCCGTTCATCATATTTACACAACAGACCATACCAACCAGAGAAGAATTAATGATAAGAGGAAATATAATCCATTCAAAAGAGGTCGTCAAGTATCTAAGAGAATTTGTTGAACGTTAATGTTTTTCAAGTTTCCTATTGCTCTTTTGACGCTAATTCTCAATCTTCCATTCTGAGTTGACCTTAATGCACCTACAAATTTTATATCCAGTAGTTTCTTCATTGTATCAGTTCATCTGTTTAGTGATGACTATTTACCTCCCTTTCCCTCTACTTTCTCAGGACCGTTTGCTTCTTAATATTGTCACATTTTCTTAATACAGTGATTTCTATTCGTAAAAATTTTGACTCGTTGAAGAGGGTGTGATCGAAAACTCTCTCTCGCTTTCTTTAATTAGCTCTTTGGCATCCGGAATCACAGGCCTTGTTGAATTATTAGGCTTGATATATATCAAGGTGTGTTTCTGATTATGCATATTATATTTAATTGGCTTCTTTACGTGATGGCAATGTTAGATTTGCCTGCACATCCTCATACTTTCTATGAAGTTTTATTGGTCTTTTATTATCACAAGGGACGAAAATACCGGACCCATGCTGAATGAAAATGAGAAATTTGGATCTCCTTGTCCAAGGTCTCTTTGTCTCTGTCCTAATTTTTCTTTTATCACTCTCACCCGTAGCATTGAATAATTATTTTTTATAGAGTATAGAGTAAACCAGACCCTCCCATGTAATCAGTCACTTTCATGTTACTCTAATCCCTGAAGTTGGAATTCTCTCTCCCTCCTCATGTTTCCTTTATTTCTCTTCGTTTTCAATTTTTACTACGTTTCTTAGCCATCAGATCTATTAATGGTACTCTAATCAGCGCTGCCAACCCATCCATTGATAGTAAGCAGCTGCAAAACTTATGACGTGCCTTTCACTGACCACCTCATAATTTTAGAAGCCTACATTTTGATCTTCAAAACTTTCATTAGTATATACATTATATAGAAGGATCCCGAGTATATTACAGAGCATAGAGCAGTTTCTTGACCTCTTAGCAGAATGACCAATACAACAGTTATTCTATTAAGAGTACGGCTGCTAACGAACACTCTCACTTATCATAATATGCATCCCATCTACGCTACTCTTAAACTAGTTCAGCTTTCGTCCCTCTACTAGCAATATTATTATTTTTTTAAATTAATTAATGGCTTTGGATAACTTGATCCATTCAGTCACGATAATGTATTTGACTACTTGAATTTGTTAATGATGTATTGACCTATTTCATTTGATAACAAAATAGTACTTCGCCTAGAGGTAAATTAAAAATATAATGTAAACATCAGTATCACAAGAATCAGTAGATTGAAAAGAAACCATACTTTCATTTGTTACATTCAAGGCCCTAACCAATTTAAAGTGAATATTTAGAACCAACAAGGGATTACATAATATAGGGATACTTTTCACGCTAAGGTGCCTTTGATAGCGATTTTATTACAAAACAAGACAGGCAACGACTAGGAGGTAAATATATAACGTAAGTATAGACAGACGGAACAAAGCTAGATTTATACATTCACATTATACATTCGTGCTGGAATGAAACTGAATGAAATTCCTGCTGGAAACAAGCTGGTTTCCGCCCTAATTACGGCACAAACGATCACCTGCAGTGCCTAAAAACCCTAATAGAAAAAACTAACGAATATAACCGTCCCTTGGCATTGATATTTGTAGACTTTAAAAAGGCGTTTGATACAGTGGAACTACCGTCCATCTTAAGAGCACTACAAGATTGCAGGATCGACCACAGATATTGTAATATAATTAAAAATATATATGAAAATGCCACAACAACCATAAGTCTATATTCTGCAACTAATAAAATAAAGATAAAAAGGGGAGTCAGGCAAGGTGATACCATGTCACCAAAGCTGTTCATTACCGTTCTTGAGTATGCATTTAAAAAACTAACATGGCAACAGAAAGGAATATCCATCGATGGAGAAAGATTAAACCATCTACGTTTTGCGGACGATATCGTGCTTCTGTCAGATAATCTGGGAGAGATCAAAGACATGCTCCAAGAACTGAATGACATACTACAAGAAACTGGGCTGGAGATAAATTTCGAGAAAACCAAAATGATGACCAATATGGTTCCCAGCGAAGAGATACAGATCAATAACAACAAGGTAGAATTAATCGATAAATACACATACTTGGGTCATGAAATTAGAATAACCAGAGACAACCAAACCTGCGAGCTAAATAGACGAATCATGTTGGGATGGGCGGCATATGGACGGATGAGAGACATTTTTAAAACAAATATCCCAATTCACCTGAAAAGGAAGGCATTTAACCAATGCATCTTACCAGTCTTGACCTACGGAGCAGAGACCTTAACTTTAACGAAAGCTACTGCCGAAAAACTGAGGGTAACACAAAGGCGAATGGAGAGATCAATGCTGGGCCTGACCTTGAAAGATCGCGTAAGAAATGAGGAGATACGCCGACGAACTGGCGTAGACGATATTATACTGCGAATCAATAAACAAAAGTGGAGGTGGGCTGGACATGTTGCTAGAATGGAAGACGGAAGATGGACGAAGAGATTATTGGAGTGGAGACCAAGAGCCGACAAGCGAAGTCGAGGCAGACCACCCACCCGATGGACCGACGACCTAAGGAGAATAGAAACAAACTGGATTGCAGCAGCTAGAGATAGAGAGAACTGGAGACGTTTGGAGGAGGCCTATATCCAACAATAGATGTGAAAATTCGGCTGGATGATGATGATGATGATTATACATTCCATCCCAAATTTTTCTATTAGTCATCATCAACTAACCTCTAACGTCCACTGCTGAACATAGGCCTCTCGCATGCTTTTCCACTTGATCCGATTTTTCTATTAGTGCTTTTTAAATATTCCAAAAAAAATTGGTTAAGCCTAATATTATGACGAGATATATATATATATATATATATATATATATATATATATATATATATATATATATATATATATATATATATATATATATATATAAAAAACAGAAGACTGACACTGAGAAAGAGGTATTTGTTGTTTTATCAGATTTTCCAATAGAAACTTAATAGCAACATCATTAAACATGCACCCGAACATCCAATGATTGATATCGTCAGTGTTACCATTATAATCGCAAAGTTCTGTTTCCATTATATTAAATCTATGAAGATAGGCTTTTACAGTAGCATCATTAACAAAGCATCTAACAAATATTTAATATACTCTTCTATTGGGATCACTTCTTACAGGAAAAGGTGCAGCAGATAAACCAAGGTGAAGTTTTTCCAGTTTTTCAATTTTCCAGTTTTCTTTTAATTCTTGTTTACGCAGAGAGCAGCTTCTTTTTGGTGGTGTCTTTTTATTCATCCAAATCGCAATCTGCTCAATCGGTCTGTTCACCCTTATTTCCAATTTCTCTTCCTTTTCAGCAACCGACGACCACAACATCGTCCATATAGCGCAAAAGTTGAACGTCTGAACGTCTAGGGACACCAGTAGGGCTGTAGTCCATTATACGGGTCATTCAATCAACGATTATACTAAATGTCTCAAAGATTGGTCCCAAGATAGATCCCCGCGGGACCTATCTTGGGACCTATATAATCTAAAATAAAATGTTTTATTTTATAAATAAATAATCTAAAAAATAAAATGTTTTACTAAATCTAAAGTGATTTGACGGTGGAAATCTATGCCCTTATACTA